GGCGACGGTGTAGGCTTTCTGGGCCTCTTCCAACTTATTCTGCTCGCCAACCAGCTGAAACCCGAGCAACACCACCTTGCGGCGTTTCGTCTCCAGCTCCAACTTGGTCGCGAGCAGCTCAGCATAGGCACGGTCGACTGAATTGCCCTGTACCGCCGCCAACACCTCCATCTTCTTGGCCTTCTGGGCCTCTTCCAGGCCCCTAACACACGCACTCCGTGCGGTCTTCCTCCGGCCTGCGCTCTCCCTCCTCAAACTTTCAAGATGGGCCTTCACTTTCCTCAGCTTAGCCTTCAATGGCTCAACTTCGCCTTTTGCGTACGCCGATTTCTTCAGCAAGGCTCCTGCTAAGGTCGTCGCCTCTATCTGGGCCGAGCAGAGCCCCTTAGCAGTTCGGCCTCTGTAAAACTCTCCATCGAGCGCACTGTCGCGTCTTCCACCATGCCCAAGAGCCGATCTGCAGCAGTCCTGGCTGGGCCTCTTTCTCCCTCCAGTCGCCCAGACACTGCTGGAGCGTGGTAGATGACAGTCTTCAACTTGACCTTCTCTCTCTCTCCTTGGGGCGCAGGACCCCCCTTGGGCTGCTGTTCAGCCCCCTCCTCAGGGTTAGTAGCCCTACCATCCACTTGTTTTTAAGGGACAGTCACCCCACCCTCCATCTCCTTCGCCGCCTCCTCCAGTCCCACTTCGGGTCTCTTCAAGGTTGGCCCTCCATCCCTCTCCCTTACTCTTTTCTTCTTCTTCAACACAGCCTCCACCTCATTTTTGCTCTTCTCCTTAAGAGGATCGATTGGAGGTGGTCGTGGCTCAAAACCACTCAGATCCTTCCCCCCGAGCGGCTTGGGGCGTGGTCGAACTCACTCTCTTGCGATCAATTTTGGAGCAGGCCCCAACTTTGCCTCTTTATATTTGTCTGCTTTGGCGAACAATCTTCTTTCCTTCTCCTCCTCCTCCGCCCTCCTCTGCACCTCCAACTCCTCCCTTGCCGGATTCTCCCCCAACGGTTGCGGTCCCAAGTTCAGGGCAAACAACGTTGAAGGAAGGACCAGCTCGTCTGACCTCACTCCCTTCTCTTCCCTCCATTCCCTGACCTTCTTCACTCGGTCTTTGGCCGCCCCGTCCAACTTGGTCTCGACCGGTTTGGTGGGGACCTTCCACGTTGTGCTAACTCTTGTCCCACCGTTCGCCGTCACAAAGAGCCATCTTAGTCTCCACCCTTTTACCGAAGATGGAAGACTTACCACCAGCCCTCGCCCCGCCACTGCTTGCAGAGTCACCCAAGTCTCCTACTGACCAGAAGCCTTGTAGCAGGAGAAGAACTCCTCTACTGTCATTGCCGTCCCTCCGGTCGCCTGTAGCTAGGCACTCGCGCAAGCCACCACTATCTTCCAAGCGTTCGACATCAGCTGCCCTGGCGCCGCTTCTAACTTGTTGAGCACATCCACCACTATTTGGGGGAGAGGTAGCCTCAAACCCCCTCGCAACGCTTCCTCGTACGAGCTGAATTTGTCTGGCAGCACATCCGACGCCCTTTCCTGGGATGTGGGCAATCTTAACCCTATCTCCGAGGGAATTTGGTACTTCCTCCTTATACCCTCTAACTCCTCTGCCGTAAGTATGGATCTATCCGGTTTGGTGTGCCAGTGGTAGATAGGTAAAGCGAATAATACCAAAAGCCCAAGGTTTGCCTATATTCCAAGGGTCGCAATTAAATTTTGCCAGTTTGAAAATTTTCAAAAATCCGCCAAAACTGTCTTTTCAACACCCTATATTGACTTATCGGTTCATATCTTGCTCAATGCCTAACCTTCCCCATTACGGGATTTCCGCCACGTGTACGACCACGATCCATTGCCTTATCTCCTACCTTGTCTTTTCCACTTCAAATCACCACGTGCCTTGCTACTTCTCGAGCCCCGCGCACTGCTACTTCTCTCTCTACTCAGCCACCCTTCGCGGTCGGCCCTCCTCATGGTCGGTCCTTCAACTCGGCCACCCTTCGTGGTCGACTCTCTTCACGGTCGGTCCTTTCCCTCGGCCACCCTTCGCGGTCGACCCTCCTCACGGTCGGTCCCTCCACTCGGCCACCCTTCGCGGTCGACCCTCCTCACGGTCGGTCCCTCCACTCGGCCACCCTTCGCGGTCGACCCTCCTCACGGTCGGTCCCTCCACTCGGCCACCCTTCGCGGTCGACCCTCCTCACGGTCGGTCCCTCCACTCGGCCACCCTTCGCGGTCGACCCTCCTCACGGTCGGTCCCTCCACTCGGCCGCCCTTCGCGGTCGACCCTCCTCACGGTCGGTCCCTCCACTCGGCCGCCCTTCGGTCCCTCCACTCGGCCACCCTTCACATTCAGTCCTCGTCATGGTTGGTCCCTCCACTCGGCCACCCTTCGCGATCGGCCCTCCTCATGGTCGGCCCCTCTGTTCGGCCACCCATCGCTATCGATCTTTCACAACCATCGTCTTCTTTATTATTCCCTTCATTGGACTAAAGCTGCACTTGGGAATGGGGGACTACTGACATGGACAAGCTCATAAAGGTTATAGCCCACCACTTAGGGCCCAATACATAATTCAAATATTAAAGCCCAGCGTTGCTGGAACTTAACATGGCATCAAGAACCAATGACATCTGAACACGTGGCAAGAAAAGGACAAGCCACATAAGTAGACAAAGATCCTGCAAAGTTATTGCACTGCACATCAGCCATTAATGAAGTCCCTTACAACATTTATTACGATAACCCCTTGCCGTCGAGACAGAACGGTCTCACCATGAACAAGGCAAGCTGGAGCATAGACTTTCGGCCAAGATGACAGGTCAGAAGGGACAACGAAATGATTACCAGAGGATATAAGCAGGCGTCGAAGACAAGAAGAAGGTTAAGCTTTTTATCTCTAATCTATCTCTACATTTCATCTCTCTTTCTAACTTGCTCGTCGGAGGGCTCACAGGGGGACTCCCCGTTCCCCGTTGAACTCTTGTGCAGGTCTTCTGGTGGGCTTGGTACCTCGGGCATTGGTTTGGGAAGCGTGGATCAGTTCGATCCGTTCCATCTAGAACACGCTGTACCATCAACTTCCATCTATGGCAATAGCTCTAGAAAATGACAAGGGGGGAAGAAGTTCCCTTTGTTTATCAAAATAATAATAATAATAATAATGTCTGTATGAATTTTCAAAGGGTCCAGCTTGTCTCAAGTTAAGATCAAGACCGGACCCATCCAGTTCGGCCCAGGGGGCCCATTTTTTGGGCCCGTTTTGGTAATCTGAACCGTTCAATGTGTAGAACTCGTTGAGTAATACATGCCTGTAAAAAATCACGTTGATCGGATATCAATAGTTATGTGATCAAATCAGTTTTGTATAAAAAAAATGGACGATGAAAAAATTAACGGTTGATAAAAAAACTGTTTTGTTCACATAGCTATCGATATCCGATCAACTTGATTTTTTACAAGTATATAGTACTCGACGAGTTCTACACATTGAACGGTTCAGATTATCAAAACGGGACCTATGATAGACCTCCACGAATCCAACAACATGATCCAATCCGATCTTAGACTGGACCAAAGTCACTGCCATTTTCAAAATATCTTGGAGAGAAGCAAACAATTGTACAGATTTCTAGTGAAACCCTGTTGGCGGCACCTCCATCTATGAAAAATGCTTCGGACTCCCACTGGGAGTCGACCCCCAGTGAGGTGGCGCGTCGTAATTGGACAAAAAAGAAATTATTTTACTTATTTATATATTTTTTTTGAGTTTCAGCCAGTGAGGACTCGCCACCTCACTGGGGGTGCGACCCCAGCATAATTGCTCCATCTATATAGCAATGGCACTAAAAAATGATGAGACAGGGAATTTCCTTTACTTATCAAAATAATAATAGTAATAATGCCTATGAATTTTGAAAATATCTTGTACATAGTGGATGCACAATCAACAAGCTTGTACACATAATAATGTCCAATGAGTTTAGCACATTTATTCAATATTTTTCCTATTTATTCAAGAGTGGACCTATTGGCATGGCTTTTAAGGAATACTTTTGTCAATTTAGGCAAATTGCATAGAAACTTTTACAATACACCTACTTAAACTTTATTTACATATAAAAAATATATAATTATTTTTGTGGGTATAAACACAAAATCAGGGACGAAACCAAGATTTTATTATTGGAGGGGCCGGAAAAAAAAGCACCAAATACACAAAAACGCATGTTTGCACAATATGATATATAAATTATATATACATAGAAAAAAAAAATTAAATACCATAGAAGTAATTTCTAATAGGATGAAGAAATTTTTTTTAGTGCAAAATAGAAAAAGAAGGCAAGATGGGAGAATAATAAGATATGTATTTTCTTATACTAGGGGGCCATTTTATGTATAAAATGATATATATATATATATATATATTTTTAAAGTGTTATGATAAACAGTATTTTTCATATAAACAGGGAGGCCATGGCTCCCCATAATCTTCTCCTAGTTCCATCCCTGCACAAAATTGATAACTGCATTTAGAAGTTTCCAAAAGAATAATGCAGTATTAGTCCCATTTTGAGAATCAATTTTTTTTAAGTAAAAAAATAATAAAAATAAAAACTAAAAATATATTTTCAAAATTATTTCTGCTTCCAAAAAAGATAAAATGATAGTACTTTGGAAATTTAAAATTTTTTTTTTTTGTTTTTACAAAAAAACAGATTCTAAAAGCCAAACCCAAACCCAAAAAACTTAAAATTGTATGTGCATTTTAAAAAACAAAAAACAAAAAATTGCCCTTGGCAATTAATTATTAACTATATATAATTTATTTTTCCATACTGCATAAAGCCGTCGATATGTCCGAGTGGTTAAGGAGACAGACTCGAAATCTGTTGGGCTTTGCCTGCGCAGGTTCGAATCCTGCTGTCGACGCTTTTCTGTTTATTTTATTTTTTGTTTTTTTGCTTCCATTCCACCGAGCTCGCTCATACCCAAAAATGTCCGATTCATTCTGATATTTCTCTTATGAGAGAGAGCAGAGAACCCACTTTCTTCTAATCCTTTCACTTTTCGGCCCCCACCTAAAGCCCTCCTTTCTCTCTCTACAAGTAGTTGCAAAGCAAGAGAGAGATGATCCTGAACCCAGCTCCTCGTCCTTCCTGATCTTGATCTCCATCTTCTCTCGCTTCAAACCCTAAAAAAGCCCAGTTTTCTCTTCCCCCCAATCACGCTCGCTTTCTTCACTCCATCAAAGTCCTCATCGGTAATGTTCTTTGCTTCTATTCTCCGTCTCTTTAATAATATTCTTTACTTGCCAACTTCACACACAACCTCTCTCTCTATTTGTCTATCTCTATATATATATGTGTGTGTGTGTATTTTATGTATTTGTATGTATAGATGTGTATGTATGTTGATGAGAAAGAAAAAAATGGTGTCAAACAGTTCATTGCACTTTATGCGTCCTGGAAAGAGAGCTGCTGGAGGAGAGGTTGTTGAAGCGGACACTGAAGGAGACAATCAAAAGATCGAATCTTTGAGCAAGAAACAGAGGATCGATTGCTTGATCTCGTCGGTGACGGCGACTAGTAGCAGCAGCGGCGGCGGAAGCGAGGCGACGGCGACGGCGGCGATGGTGGGTAAGGTTAATGGCAGCAGCGGTAACGGGAAGGCGCCGATGATGGATTTAGGAGAGGGAAAGTCGCCGGATATCGATGAGGATCTGCACAGCCGCCAGCTCGCCGTGTATGGCCGCGAGACCATGAGGCGGCTTTTCGCCTCTAATGTTCTTATCTCAGGGATTAATGGGCTCGGTGCCGAAATTGGTGGGTTGTTATTGATTATGGATTTGCATTGATAGTTAAGATGATTAATTTTAAAAATTTAAAATATTCAATTGATAGATATTGGGAAGTTTTTTTAGTATTGAACTGAAAATGGTGGTCTAAATTTTATATTTCTGTTTAATTGGGTGTTTTTATGCTAGAGATGGGCATTAGGATAAGATAAGATATACTGGGTTGAAGTGATTATTTGACCTGCTGAATTTGATGAAATGGGGCATGTGCGTCTTGCAGCAAAGAACCTTGTTCTTGCTGGTGTCAAGTCTGTGACCTTGCATGACGAGGGAATTGTGGAGTTGTGGGACTTGTCCAGCAATTTTATCTTTTCTGATGATGATGTGGGGAAGAATCGAGCCCTTGCTTCTGTCCAAAAACTGCAAGAACTGAACAATTCCGTGGTTATTTCAACTTTAACAACTGAATTGACTAAGGAGCAACTTTCTGATTTTCAGGTATAGCTCTTTTAGCAATTGCCGGGTCCGATTACTCTGTTTATTTGATTACAAGTTTTTTTTTCTTTTCATTGCTTTGATATTTGGAATTTCATATATAGTACATATCTATTAATAATTAAATGTGCTCCCTTATAAGTACTGTTTAGTGTTATCATCAACTGTTTCAGAAAGAGAAGAAAAATATGACTTTTTTGACTTCATTTGGGCTTGTGATTCAAGAACTAATGTGGATGCCCATTTTAGATTAACTGTCTATGTCTGGTCTGTTCTTGTAGTTTTGTAGTGTACTATGCAATTTGGTAAAGCCTACAGAACAATCAAATGCTCTAGTCTCTTCTATGCATGTGTGGTGTCCAAAGGGAGTGTGGCCACCATCAACATGACAAAACATGCTCAGTTGGAGTGTCTTTATATGTATATATATATAGATTGTAAACATTTTTACACCCTAGTTGCTCTGATAGGTTTTGTACTTGATCATGTTGGTTGATTGTGATGAGCCCCATATTTTGTAGCTATGATGATTTCTCAAGCTGCAAGGATTGTGCATAGATATGGGCATTGCTGCACTTTGGCATGCATTGCATTATTGACCTTGCTTAAGGTATTTATTGGGGAACCCAGTACAATTAGGTGTCAAAGGTGCAACCTTGTATTTGCTGGTATGTTGGAATATGCAGAAATGGCTTTCTATCAACACTAAAAGAGCATATATAATTTATTAATCTGTTCCAATATTCTATTTACTACTTGATCTTGGATTGAACCGAGTGCTGAAAGGGGATTTGTGCAGGGCCACAAGTTATTGGTTAATAAAGTTTGTTGTTAATTATCAATCACTGAATATTCTTTTATTAATCTTACAATGCCTAAGTATTCCGACTGGTAGAATATGCAAGAGCCAAACTAGAAAGTTTGTTATTGCACTCCACGGGCTTTGTTAGTTGTAACCTTCCTGGGTTCCTCATTTTTGACATTGTATCTTCTATATTCACTATATTGTTTCAAATGTTTTCGGTATTGTGGTTGTCCTTCTGTGTTAGTGGGACCTAATTGTGCTTGTATCCATATGAGATTCCTCAAATGTTGATCCTTGTGAAGGTATGAGTACCTGTTGTTATTATTGCAAGTATTACTAGCTAGACTTTCTGATGTATTCACTTCCACCTTGACCTTCTATAACCTTTGAACCTGCTCCTAGATTTCAACTTCTCCCCTGTTATTCGGGACCTTCCAAACTGTTTTGATCTTTATATTTTTGGACTGTCAGTCATCTGTAATATGGCCATTTGCTCTCAATATTGCAGGGAGAAGGTACTGGCTGCTGTCTAGTTTAGAAATTTTCCTTGCGGATTTCAAATTACAGTGGTTGTTTATGTTCGGAAGTAAAATATCACAAATGATATTTTAAGTGTTGGGGAATGTCGCAAATCAGCTGTTTTTGATTTTTTTTTGCAGATTTCAATCTATTGCTTCTTAGTTATGGTATTGGAAGGTGTTTCCACACTGGGTTATTGCATGCATTATTGTTGTTTGCTTCCAAGAATAGCAATGAAGTTTCTTTTGTGTTCCTTGAATTGCAAAAAGTGTGTGTATTTCTGGAATTACAATCTAGCTGTAGCAAAAGATGTGATTTTGATCAAGCTCTCATCTTTTGCAAGTGTGCATGTATGCATGTATGCACACTGCACTAATTTGGTGCATGTGTGGATGTATATTTGTTTTTATAATTCTTGCATGTTTTCTTTTTAGGCTAATTTTAGGAAGTAACGTATAGAGCTGTTTATGCTTCTCCCAAATCTGTGTCTGCTTTATAGAACGTGGAATAATTTTTAGCCCTTGACTGTTGGTGGCAGGCTGTAGTATTCACTGATATCAGCTTGGAGAAGGCAATTGAATTCAATGATTACTGCCATAGTCATCAGCCTCCAATCTCTTTCATCAAAACTGAAGTACGAGGTCTTTTTGGCAGTGTGTTTTGTGACTTTGGTCCCGAGTTTACAGTTTTTGATGTTGATGGCAATGATCCACACACAGGCATTATTGCATCTATTAGCAATGACAATCCTGCTATTGTTGCCTGTGTGGATGATGAGAGGCTTGAGTTTGAGGATGGAGATCTGGTTGTCTTCTCTGAAGTTCATGGAATGCCGGAATTGAATGATGGAAAGCCAAGAAAAGTTAAGAATGCAAGGCCTTATTCATTCACCATTGAAGAGGATACAACAAATTATGCTGCATATGAAAAAGGTGGTATTGTCACCCAGGTGAAGCAGCCTAAGGCATTGAACTTTAAGCCATTGCGAGAAGCACTTAAAGATCCTGGCGATTTTCTTCTGAGTGACTTCTCCAAGTTCGATCGTCCACCTCTTCTACACTTGGCATTTCAAGCATTGGACATGTATATATCAGAGTTGGGGCGCTTCCCTATTGCTGGATCAGAGGAGGATGCTCAGAAACTGATATCTTTGGCCACTAACATCAATAATAGCTCAGCAAGTGGGAAACTTGAAGAGATTGATCCAAAACTTCTTCGGAACTTTGCATTTGGTGCTAAGGCTGTTTTAAATCCCATGGCTGCCATGTTTGGTGGCATTGTTGGCCAGGAAGTTGTAAAGGCTTGCTCTGGCAAGTTCCATCCTCTTTTTCAGGTTAGTTTCTTCAGCTATGCTACTTGTGATGGGTCTAGTTTACGATTTCACTAAGCTGAGTAGTGAAATGCAGATAATACAAATAGTCTGGATAAATTTTTCAAACAAATTGTTGATTGGGCTTGTAATGCCTGTTGATGAGAGGTTTTGCTGAATCGCAAGCTGTTTTCAAGCAGCAAGTTTCTCAACCCGGGGCTGAGGCCTTGAAACTTTTATGTTTACCTACCTTTCTAACATAACTTTAATTGTATATACATTAACGTTTTTGTGTGTGTGTGGACAGTTTTTCTATTTCGACTCTATTGAGTCCCTTCCTCCTGAACCCCTGGATCCCAGTGATTTGAAGCCCTTGAACAGTCGATATGATGCACAAATCTCAGTTTTTGGAGCCAAACTTCAGAAAAAGCTAGAGGATGCCAAAGTGTTTATTGTGGGATCTGGTGCACTAGGTTGTGAGTTTTTGAAAAATGTAGCTCTGATGGGTGTTTGTTGTGGTAATCAAGGAAAACTAACAATTACAGATGATGATGTCATTGAGAAGAGCAACCTTACCAGACAATTTCTTTTCCGGGACTGGAACATTGGACAGGCCAAGTCAACAGTTGCTGCTTCAGCTGCCTCTTTGATAAACCCTCATCTCCACATTGATGCACTACAAAACCGTGCCAGCCCTGAGACTGAAAATGTGTTTCATGATACTTTTTGGGAGAATCTCAATGTTGTCATCAATGCACTGGATAATGTGAGTGCCAGGCTCTACATTGATCAGAGGTGCTTATATTTCCAGAAACCGCTTCTCGAGTCAGGAACCTTAGGTGCCAAGTGCAATACTCAGATGGTCATTCCTCACTTGACCGAGAACTATGGTGCCTCAAGGGATCCTCCTGAGAAACAAGCACCCATGTGTACAGTGCATTCATTCCCACACAACATTGACCACTGCTTGACATGGGCTCGATCAGAGTTTGAGGGTTTGCTTGAGAAGACACCAGCTGAAGTGAATGCGTATTTAACCAGTCCAAATGAATATACGTCTGCAATGAAAAATGCTGGTGACGCACAGGCCAGGGATAATTTGGAACGTGTTATCGAATGCCTTGACAAGGAGAAATGTGAAACATTCCAAGACTGCATAACCTGGGCCCGCTTGAAGTACTACATTCTATTAGTAGTTTTATTTGTCCTTGTTCATGTTTTAGCATCACTTTCTTCAGTCAGCTTCTAATAATGTGCTTTAATGGAACTAGGTTTGAAGACTACTTTGCTAACCGTGTGAAGCAATTGACATTCACTTTCCCTGAGGATGCTGTTACCAGTAGCGGAACACCATTCTGGTCTGCCCCAAAGCGTTTTCCCCGCCCACTGCAGTTCTCTGTTGATGATACTAGCCACCTTCACTTTGTTACGGCTGCATCAATATTACGAGCGGAGACCTTTGGCATCCCAATTCCTGATTGGGTTAAGTCTTCTAAGAAGTTGGCTGATGCTGTTAACAGAGTAATAGTCCCTGATTTCCAGCCAAAGAAAGATGTGAAGATAGTGACAGATGAGAAAGCTACTAGTCTTTCGACAGCGTCCATAGATGATGCTGTTGTGATCAATGAATTGGTAATGAAGTTAGAAATATGCCACAAGAAGTTGATGCCAGGCTTCAAGATGAACCCAATTCAGTTTGAGAAGGTTGGTTGTGTGTGTGTGCGCATACCCTTACATGTCATTAGCATGCGAAGCTGAAATTAATTGTTAGGATGTCTTTTAGCATTTTGTAGTGTGGCACTCTTATTCTTTTTGCTTTTCCATTAATACCGCCTACATGGTTTTTCTGAATGTGCAGGATGATGACACCAACTATCATATGGACCTAATTGCTGGACTTGCCAACATGAGGGCAAGGAATTATAGCATTCCTGAAGTAGACAAACTCAAGGCCAAATTCATTGCAGGGAGGATCATACCTGCAATTGCAACATCCACTGCTATGGCCACAGGTCTTGTTTGCCTGGAACTATACAAGGCTCTTGATGGAGGTCACAAATTGGAGGATTACAGGAACACCTTTGCCAACCTGGCTCTTCCTCTTTTCTCCATGGCTGAGCCGGTTCCTCCGAAGGTGATCAAGCACCAAGACATGAGCTGGACTGTGTGGGACAGGTGGATTGTGGGAGATAATCCTACTTTGAGAGAGCTTCTTCAATGGCTTAAAGACAAGGCACTGAATGCTTACAGCATCTCATTCGGGAGTTGCTTGCTTTACAATAGCATGTTCCCTAGGCACAGAGAACGGATGGATCGGAAACATTAACGTTTTTGTGTGTCGAAAGCAGAATTGCCTCCATACCGACGACATTTTGATGTAGTGGTGGCTTGTGAGGATGATGAAGACAATGACGTTGATATCCCTCAGGTTTCTATATACTTCAGGTAGGCTGTTTACTCTGATTAGTCAAGACAGATACAATGGCAATATCAGGATGGGAACCTTATCTTTAGCTGTTATGGTTGAGCTTGGCTTCCTGTCAATTTATGTATGCAATGGGATACTTTGTTTTCAATGACTAATATAAATTTGAAAGCAATACTGATTCTCCAATATGATGTTAATACTTGTATCAACCTTTTTCCTTTGGCAGATGAGCCATGCTGTTTGTGCTGCCTTTTATGCTATATGCATAAACTTATTACTGAAAGTGATATAATTCTTAGTGTAATGTGTTTACCTGGTACAAAATTTGCTTGCAACTCAAACAGGGACCCGTAATCTTATCAACAGATAGTATGTATTCACATAGTTGCAGGTTTGCTGTTTTATTCGAATCAGACAGTTGACTTGCAGCCAGAGGGAAAAAGAAAGAACAAAAAGAAAAAGAAAATGAAAAGTTGCAAAACAACATTGATATTACTGTGTAGTGAGCAAATTTGAACCAATAGAATACCTCTGAGCTAAAAGATTCTGGTATTAAAGGTCTGACTACTGTTTTTTTACAAGTCATTCTGGTTCTTTACAAGGAGAGCCTTGCAAGGCATCCGTACTTGCGGGCTTGCAATTGAGTAGTTCATAAAATGTATGTGCGAAAACTAGGACCTGTTTTATGTCTTTGATTAATTTGAACCATTACATTCTTCTGCTGATCACGTTTGTCCTCTTTGTAATCATGCCATTTGATGGTTCTACTTGTTGACAAAGCTTGAAATATGTACTAAAATACCTTATAGCTAGTTGTCTTCCGTAGACAGTTGGCTGGCTGAAGATATACTCCAGATTGGATCAGCCCTTGTGCTCGCTACATTCAAAAAAATAAAATAAAATTCCGACTCAATTTTCACCCATCAATGCTAAGTTCGCAAAAATTACATGAAAATGCATATAAAATCAGGGTCTATGAGTTGCATGTAACATTTTATTGCCAACCTCCTATTGTCAGTGTGCCTATGAAACATAAAAAGAAGAGGGCTTGTGTGCAAGTTAAGCAAAGTTAGTATAAATAAATAGTAACAAGTGATCACCAATTAGACAATGTTGTCTTTTGTCATTATTTTGAACTTAAATTGTTTTGTGTACAGCATTCACAAAAATAATGCATACATCATATGATAAATATATCCTGTAACCTGTAAATGTCTAAATATATATTTACTGGAAGACAAAAGTAAATTTTCTTCTATTGCTGCCCCTGCCCTCTATTTTGGTTTCTCAATTACTCATCTCCAAGTAGAAACTCTCACTAATGGAGTTCCTCTCCATTCCAATACCATCTCATTCTCATTTTGTCCTTCGATCTTGACTGTATATGAACTCTGTCCCTCTTTCACCATTTCTTTGGCTTCCATTAAATTTTCTTTGGTTAGGGTTAGACCCTTCATCCCTATCCCAGCATGAAGATCAGATCCTTCTGCTAGCTCCTCCCACCTCTGAAGCCAAGAAAGTGAAGACACGAAAGGTGTGACAAAGAGATTCTCCATGGCTATTCTTGCTTCTGCAAGATAAACTGGAAAGTTCCACTCCATTGATTCACAAAGAGCTTGATAATGGTTTATATACATGTCAAAGAACGAACTATATGTAGAGCCACTTTTCAATCTCTCCGCTGCATCTCCATCACCAATTGTTATGATTCCTTTATTAGTTGCAGAATAGGTTAACAATTTTTTGGCCACCCTTAGAAACTCCATAACATGGCTTCTACTCCTTCCCCTCCCCATATGGGGAATCCCTGCCATGCAATTAAAGGTCAAAAGGTCAACCACTATTTCCCCCCACCCCTCTTCTTCATTTTCTTTATCTCACTTGTCAAATCATCAATTCCCACCTCTTCCACCTTCAAGTTTAGGCCAAAAGACCTTGCATGATCACAGAGTTGCCTCTTTGTTTTCTCAAAACTCCAGTGTACAGGAGCATCACCAGAGTCCTCCCTTGTTTTGATTGATGTCAACTTCAATGCCTTTTGTAGACGAGCAACAGCCTCGATCATTGGAGGCCATTGAATCCCTTCCCTCATATTGAAGTCTACAATATGTACTGTCTCTGCGTCGTCTGGGATAGCCTCCAGGATAGCCAAGTTCGCTGTGAAGTGAGCAAACCTCCCATATGGGAAGATTTGGTAGAATGCCTTGAATGCTGCCTCGAAGTTCTTGCTTGACTCTTCTCTTAGATACTCTCCTTGATTTTCCTCGGATTGGAATAAGTTGAATGCAAGTCGTTCCAAAGTTTCACCAATTGGACTGACTTTCTCAGTTATGCATTTTATGATCACCTCTGCGAGCTCTCTCTGTTCCATCTCCATGGCTTCTCCGTAAGCCTTAAGTAGATGTTGAATGCTCAATTGGTTGTCAATTTCCATGCCATCTCTTGGTAAGGTTACTGGCTCTTGTACTGATGGAAACACCATCGAAGCCTCGCTTGATTTCGTTGACTGACAAGGACTCCAGAGATCCTCACCTTCCATCGACAGTTGTTCTGAAAGAAAACCTCCCTCACCCTCACTTTCGCCCAACCATCTACAGACATCCTCAATCTCACCTCCCCAAATAGACTCGATTCCCTGCATATAATCTGCAATATTCTCCATGGGTGATGTGATTTGCACATCTTCATCACCCGACATGGGATATTTGGGAAACTCATTGGAGAATATGGTTGAGAGAAATTGGTCCGAGGAAATCCCAGAGGATTCCTTGGAGGTGGTGAAATAGAATGAGAAATCATGGTCACCTATATGGTGATCCATTTGTAGACCACCATATGCTCCAACTTGATCACAAGGTGAGTTCATGATGTTGTAGAATGGCCTTGGGTGCTGCTGAAGAAGCTCAGGTTGCATCATCTTTTGATGGGGATAAGACTTCTGACTTTTGAGTCTTGATGATAGCTTTGATTGAATCTTATAAATATAACATGGTAAACAATGTTGACACAAAGTTAAAATAAAATAATGAATGGAATTAATTAATTATAGAAAAGGAAAACTACCCAATAATTAATTATTGAAAAGGGTTCCCTGTTGACTCCTCTTCCTTTCTTGGAGTCTTCTGGGCGGTTAGTAATCTTTATTCATACCTGTCTTGATATCTATTTTAATAAGGGAATGCATACCTATCTGTCTTTTATTTATTTATTTATTATCTATTTTAATCAGAGGATGCTAGAAAATTATTGATGTCTTTTTAAAGTAATCACCTTTCACCCACAGTTGGAAGTAATTCATTTGACTTAATGGATATATATTAGAATTTGCAGTCTTTGTGGGTCCATAGGCCTCCTTCCAGGTGAAGTAATAACTCCTGATTTCATAATAAACTTATAACTTGCGGTAGAGAGGACAAGAAAGTTAAATTTCACGCTTCCTTCATATCATTTTTTCTGGGAGCTAATCCCCACACAATTTCTTTGGAACCCTCCTTTGGACCCTCACTACCTAACTTCAAAATTTATAAAAATTCTTTGCATCTCACTTATTATCAAAATTAGCCTCCAACCTCTTAAACCCTAACCCTACCCCCACCACCTGCCACCCAACCCTAACCCCACTCTAGCCACCGCCCACAACCACTAGCTCCGTGCACCTTCCACTGCACATCTCTTACTACGATTGGCACCTCCAATCCCTTCCTAGCCTCCCCGCCTCGCTTTAGCCCCTCTCCCTACCTTGCACACACCTAATACCTCTTCCCTCTGCTGCAACAGCCACCCCCAAAGCCTACCCACTGCGACCCCACCTTTGTGACATAGGAGGGGCTGAGGGGTGGCCAAGGAGGGGTTTCAGAGATGGGAGATGGGCAAAATTAGAATTTTCTTCTAGGTTAAAATTTAAAAATTGTAACATTTTTTTTTCAATTTTTTATTTTTTGGATGGATAGTGGGAGTCCAAAGATATTTTGTGAATGCTGTTAGCAGCACATTTTTTTCTTCAAGTCACTATTGATAGTTATCAAGATGAAAACAGGATTAGCATTCAATATGTACTGTAGATGTCTCTTTTAACCGTGTGAACGGGTTTACATTCTAGTCTTTTGTTTTATGTGCATGTATATTTTGGTTTTTGGTGGTGGAATGAGGATAAGCTTTACGATGAATTAAATTAATAGGGGATAATGTCTAATAATGATTGATTTCTATTCCACAATACAATTTTGACCAAATAATCACAATAATTTGTTTTTAAGCGAATGAAGATTACTCTGGATAAGTTTGAGCTGCTTCAGCGGCATTTCTCATTGAAATTTGACTAATGTCTAATACTCTATTGGGTGCAGTTAATGGAGTCCATATTTTAGTATCTAATTATATGAATAGAACTATTCTATTTTGCTTAAATAATAGAAAGTCCTAAGGAAATGGTTAGACGCAACCTCATGCTAATGTACTGTGTTTCAAACTATTGTCGTTTCATTGTTTGCATATGTATGCATATTTGTTTAGAGGGCATTGCTTGGGGTAGGGGTAAAAGCTTGGTTGATAAGCAGGAGATTGCGAGTGTGTATATGTGTATATGTGCATGTATATAGACATTTGTAGGATTAACTGTGTATCACAGAACATGATTCAATTTCCTGTATTCTTTGTTGCAAATAGTTAATTGATCTAGGTTTTGATTGATAATACTGATACAAGATATGTAATTCTGGCCATAACCATTTGTCATCGAAACATTGAAATGGACAGTCAATGCCCAACTTGTTGGACTCCAAGACACGGTTGCATGGGATGCTAGAACTGCCATGAGATATGTTTGGACTGCACATGCATACGAAGGTAGGAATTGAGCTATATGAACGTCTCTACCACTTTCATGTGCCAGATTAGTATAATTATATTGTTTGTGAGATGCTATTTTTTGTGCTGTGTCATCAAATCTGCCGCATCGGACCCCTTAAGTAATGCTAATCTCTAGGATATTTTTCTTAATCAATGTATGACTGCTTGTGTGGCTTGTTCTTTTCTTGCTGTCCAGAAAATTGGATCTATCAGGTTTGACCTAATTAGCTGTATGTGCTTAAATTGTCTGTTACAGTTGAATATGCAAATACATGAATGGAATGTGGCACTATTTCGACTTGTATATACATTTGATGTTAGAGTTCATCAATGGCTCTTGATTTAAACCAAACTATACGGGACATTTGTGTTTTGTTGTTAACTTGTTCATCATTTGTTCAGGACAGTAGGGTGATGATTGGAAAGCATAGTTGAGAAGTTGCTCAACTGAGAAATAAAATGGAAAATTATAGAACAGTCAAAATACTAGATCTAGTCTAATGTAAAAGAGCTCATAATAACAATTTTTAGTCTGTGTTTCACTTGAGCCTGTATTCTATTGCTATTAATTTATGCAGTGGTTTTGGAAATATTGCTGACCTCTTAAGGTCGCATTGCTTCTATTTTTAATATGTTAGGCAAAGCTATGTATAGTTCGGGAATAAGTTCTCCATTAGGCATGACTGTTGGATTGAGTTCCACAATCTCACCCAAAATCAAGGGGTGTTAGGGAGAGTTTCATTTGTATTTTATGATATTTGACATGGCACCGGCTGACTAGTTTTTAGAATGACATTGTGTACACCAACAATTCTTCTATCATGATGAAGCTTTAACAAGTCAAACCCATGACAACCTAATTTTGACACTAAAAAAAAAAAAAAAAAAAAAAAAAAAACAACATTAAAATTGTTTTAGCGTCTTGTATTTGAGAAAGATGTTCATATGACAAACAAATGACATGTTTACAATGTTTCATGAATGTGAAGTTTACTTAAATTTACATGTGCATTCATTAAATACTCCCTTAAAAGCAACACGTGCAATTCTTGTTTCCAATGAAGTCAGTCATAGATGAATAAATTTTAAATTTTGGAGCACACTAGTTAGGGGGTTAATCAGGACAAAATAGAGTGATGTAGAAACATAGGAAGGGTCGACAGCGGTGTAAACAATGAAGCTCTCTGGCAGCTCATTTGTACACATCATTTATTGTGTTTTTTGAACATCAGAAGTCTACGCGAGCTTTTTCGTACATGTTCACTTCCATCAAATAAGCAGTGTTGTTACGCTCCATTGTAGCCCAGGCATTGGTGCCCCTATTATATATGTAAAACTTGGTTGGTTTTAGGAGAAAATTATCAGCCAAACGATTCTTGACAGATTTGAGAATATTTCAACCTATCACCAACCTACCTGTCCTCAAAACCGACGTGTTTGTTGAATGGATAGGTTTACAGAGAAACAATCAACATGTTATTGAATGTAGTAATGACATTTCCTTTCTGCTTGCTTGTGACCATAGGATCGTGTTCAATGAGTAAAATTTGAAGAAGCATGGGATGTGTAAAACTAGGTCGATTTTAGGAGAAAATTATCAACCAAACCATCTTTAACGGATTGAGAAATTTTCAACCCATTGCCAACCTATCTGTTCTCAAAACCATCAGGTTAGTTGAATGGGTGTATGCTTTGAAACAATCAACATGTTGAAAAACGTAGTGAAGACACGTGCTCTTTGCTTTCTTGCGACCGAAGAATCAAGTTCAATGATTACAATTCTTAGAATCATGGGATGCAATGTATCTCATATATGTGATAAAAACCTTTTATTTTCTCCGAAAATACTAGGATGGTGTTTTGCAAGTACATTTTCATGTCATGGTCACAAAATGAAGAAAAAACCATGATACAAGTCAATGAAATTAAACAAAATCAACATTCCAACGGCTGGCCTTTTCAAGGGGTCTTAATCAATGACTTGGAAGATTAATTTACTTCATTAAGGACAGAAAACAGAGCCAGACACTTAATTAGACATTTACCAGGTGGGCACCGTTGGTTTAAAATTTCCCTTTCAAAACCTTTGGTTCTAATACTTAAAATTTCCCTTTCAAAAAGCTGGAATAATCTATAATTAAGGTACAGTAGCACATCGATAGAAGACAATTTGTCAGAAAGTAATACTACAAAATTACCACGTAGTTGCGTAATACACTCTATAGCTGTTTGTTTTTGTCCTCCATTAACATGAATCATGCGGTTGATTAACATGATATTTCCTTTATCACAATCAGCAATGCTGAAATGCTAGTAGAGTAAAACAAATTCTTGGGGAGTTTGACATAACACCCGATTGATTCACAACAATTTTCTTATGATTTTTTATATGAGATTGATTTGAAATCAAAATTGTTGGAGGGTTGAGTAAATATGGGAATGCTTATGAGTTTCTGATTGTCACTTTGGCCAGTGAGTTCATGAATATATATGTTCATTAATTTACTTCCAGGGCCTTTTCATCCTAGTGGCAGACTAATATACATGACTCTGATACGAACACAACCCTAGATGAAATATAATTCAAATCATGCAAATATATAATCACACGTAGCAAAGAAGACTCGCACGTAGTAAAGTCGTTTTCATGGAAAACCTAGACGTGGAACCTAACACTGAAAGGGAATTCAATGAGTAATATACCATTTTCTGTTATCTTTTCCTAAATATCTGTTCTCCCATTCAGTTTCTTAAAGGAATCTTTGTGCCTCCCTCGAGAAATAAAAAATGGGAAACTTATATTGATCGACAACCCTTCTTAATTAAATATATGATTAGGGTAGGATAATGCATGTTATTTATTCTGAGAAGCTGCCAATGAAGAATGTGACTTGATTGAGAGATGTGCTTGAATGAGATTGCCTTTCTCACTCCGAGTCTCTATATAGTTCTCTGTTCTTATATATACACGTGGTCAAAACTAGGTTTTTAAAGCCTTCTTAAGCCTTGTTAACAATAATGCAATCTTCATCGACGTCCTTCAATAACAGAAATTCATCCTTTGATGAATTTGGAGCTTATGGGCTGGCTTTGGATAATGCTATGGATCACGATGAGTTCTCTCCTCCTTTGACCATAACAGAGGACTCCTCTGTTATAATCTCAAGAATTCCAACCACTTTCCCTGATAATTTTATGGACTTTCCAGTTATCACATTACCGGAGATTGATTTTTCAATAGCTTTGGAGGATTTTGAGATTGAAAACATGTTTGAATCTTCGGAGGAGAGAGAGAAAAGTTTTCTTTCTCAACAGTTCTTGATTGATGGAGAAGATGGATGGAGCCTTAGCTCACCGATGAAATCAAGTGACACAACAATGGACATGTCATTGAACGAGGCATCACTAACTTTGCCTACCGAGGACATGGAGCTTGACAATCAAGAAAGTCTAATTCATCTAGTCAAGGCTTATGGAGAAGCCATAGATGAAGAACATACAGAGCTCGCTGAGGCGATCATGAAATGCATAAGTGAGAAGGTAAGCCCAGTCGGTGGAGTCGTGGAACGCCTTTTGTATTACTTGTTCCAATCCTTGGACAAGCAAGCTGGCTATCTCAAGCAAGAGTCTAGCAAGAACTTCCTTGCTGCTTTTAAGGCGTTCTACCAAATTTTCCCGTATGGGAAGTTTGCTCATTCTGCAGCCAACCAAGCAATCATCGAAGCCATGCCTCACGATGTGGAGGTCATACACATCATTGACTGTGATATGGGAGAAGGGATTCAGTGGTCTTCAATGATTGAGGCCCTCGGATATCAACAAAGGGAGATCAGGTTGACATCAATAAAATGGAGCGAGGATGATTCTAATGGTGATCCCTCACTATGGAGGTTCGAGGAGACAAAGCGATGGCTATATGATCATGCTCGATCTTTTGGCCTAAAGTTGACAGTGGATAACATGGAACTGCATGATTTGGCGACAGAGATAAAGAAAGTGAAGCAAAAAGGAGGGAGAAGAGAATGGTTAGCCTTTAATTGCATGGTAGGGCTTCCCCATATGGGGAGGATGAGAAGTAGGAGGGCTGTATCAAAATTTCTAAGTGTGGCCAAGGAATTGCTAGCATATACTGCAAATTATGATTATAATAATATGGGGATTGTAACTGTGGGTGATGGAGATGCTTGGGTAACATCAAAAAGTTCCTCTAGTTTTGGGTCTTTTTTGGATGGTCATTTGGTACATTACCAAGCTTTATTAGAATCAATAGAGTGGGCTTTGCCAATTCATCTTGGACAATCAAGAACTATCTTGGAATGTCTCTTTGTGGCACCTTTGATATCTTCAATTTCATGTAGTCAAAAATGGGAGATGAGTTGTTGTGATCGCTCGGGGTTAGGGTTAGGGTTAGAGGGTTGGCGAGTGAGTGAACGGAGCTTAATGGAAGTTGAGGAAATGGTGAGAGATGGGGAGAATCTATATGGGGTGAGGATTGAAGGTAAGAATAACAACGATATGGTCTTAAATTGGAGAGGAATTCCGTTGGTGAGAGTTTCTTGTTGGAGGTAAACAACAGGAGGTCTTCTATTCAAGTCTGTACCTTGCCCGATATGTGAAATCAGGGGTGAATATATTAAGAAAACCAATTAGCAGCACATAAGAACTGGAAAATTTTCCATCTGTGTATATTCATTATGTGAATATTGTAAAATGTCGACTGCATTGTATATAAGACATTGATGAACTAATACATGGTTCTGTTACTGTTTATTTGCTTCAAAACACACTGTGTCCTCTTCAGTTTCTGAATCCTGCTTTTAGCCTTGAGATCAACTTTCAGACTTGGCCACCTTAATATGTTGGATTAGGAAAATACTATCGCTGTGACAGGATTATGCTCTGACATGTCAACTGATTAGCCATGTCAGACCCCTTTTAAGTATTGTTAATAGCTTATCTGAATCTTTTTTAATCTATGATGAACCGTCCTATGTTTAGCCATGTCAACAAACTAGCCATGTCTTTGATATGTTCTCTACATTTGATCTTGAAGTTATTAATGTTACATAACTAAAACTGAAACTTAAGATGATTTTATTGTTGTTATTATTTTTCATTCTGCAAAGCACGTGGAAGCGTAGGAGACAATTTATACAAAATTTTAATTAATTAAAGCATCAGCGTATGGTTATGTGTACCAATGATAGGTTATTTTCCGTGGCATGGTACTTGTAGTGCCACATAATCTCTATTGATGATGATCCTTATGATTAGTACTTAATTTAGGTAATTAGGGAACATGAGATTGGATCTTCCAGCTAAACTATATAACTTTGTTGTTAATTATCGAGCCAATTATAGTTTCTATTTCCTGGAATGGATAAGGATGGAAAAAAATTACTCAAACAGTATATGAATGTATAAATAAAATGTGTGAAACTATGAAAATTGGTTTCATATATATGTTTTGATTTCCAATGCAAGATCTTGCACTTCTAAATGCGAATCTTTTGATGTGTTTTCATGTTCTGCATTTATATTAAACTTCTTTGATAAACTATTTTTGAAAACTATTTTTTGGAATATTTTTAGAAATAACCCACCTTTAATAAACACCAAATAGTTTAACTATTCTATATTTTAGAAGCATATTATAATGGTTTGAAAGCTCCAACAAGTATGTAGATGTTATGATGTTGATGTAATTTGTAACATGCATGACTTAGACCATAACCTAATTTAACCTAATTTAGTGTTAAGAAAAGAAAAATATTAAAAACAGCTCTTGAGACTATATTTAGATCGGTTGTTTTTGATTTTCAGAAAACACTTTTCAAAAAAATTTTACTTTTTTATTTTCTGTATTTTTTTTGTTTTCAATGATTTTTTTTAATGTTTTAAGCATTTTTTTTAATAAAATTTTTAGATACACCTAACATAAATATACTTAAAAAGTATAATATTTGTGAAAAAAATCTTTAAAAAAATTTACTAAATAACAAAAATGCAAAAACAAAAAAATCCAAAATCGAAAAATTCAGTACATTTTCGTAATATTGTGAATTTATTGAATTTTTACAAATATTTTATTTTTTAAGTACATCTAAATTAGGTGCATGTAAAAAATAAAAAAGAAATTGACTAAAATATTAAAAAATCACTAAAAACAAAAAAGTAAGAAAAACAAAAATATATATATGAAAATTCAGTATATTTTTCATATTTTTGTGTATTTGTTAATTTTTAAAAATATTTTTTCACAAATATTTTACTATTTAGATACATCTAAGTAAGGTGCATCTAAGAAAGTAAAAAAAAATTGCTTAAAATTGTAAAAATATTTACTAAAAACAAAAAATACAAAAAATATGAAAAATAAATAACTCAATTATCTGAAAACTGAATTCAGAAAACTGAAACCAAATACGTTAATTATTTTTTTTTTAGAGGGTTAGTGTTGGGGAATGTGTAAAGGGCATATTAAAATGTGTAAATAATCTATAAAAATATATAAAACTATTATGAGATATATGAAAAGTGTATTTGGATTATAACTATTTTGACATTTTGTGTTTCTTATTGATAGTCTTTAGAGATGCCATTAGCAAATTCTGTTGGAGAAAAATGGTTGAATAAGAAATTGCCTCATAAATGTGTGAAATTGTCTCATAAATGTGTATATAATTCATACATTTAAGGCTCATCAGTTTTACAAAATTCATTGGGCAGTTTTGCTAGCATTAGTTGCCAGCCTTGATGGCTAGAGGCTCCTCCCCTCTCTCCCATGGTGTATAAAAGGAGGCCCTATTCCTTGAAAAGAGATATAGAATTTTTTCTTGACATCCATACACTGTCAGTCTACTTCTCCTATAATTTTCTTCCTGAGAGAGAGTGCTGCCGTTGTCCGTTCGCTAAGCTAATCAGAAGGTGCTTCTGTTGTAGCTGGTAAAAACCGTCGTATCTTGGGAAGTAGACGCCGCGTACCTTCAGCACCCAACGGTGAGGCGACGAATCTATTTTAAGGAGACTGTGGTATCACACAGGCTTCGGTTTGCTTCCTTTAGCCATTTTATATTTTATCTGTATTTTATTCAGCATGTTATTTTTCCTGGAATTGAAGGTTTGTTTTGTTCATCTCATAATTTTGCGATATGCAATGTGAAATTATGTAATGTGAGTAGTTTTTCCCAACAAGCTTAAAATAGATTTGACGTTTATCATAGAATTAGATTAATAGATTCATAGGTGTGTGTAATAATTTTGCATGTAATTGGCCACTGGTAGTACTAGCGAGTTAATTGGTTTATTAGATGCATGTACATAGGGTTAAGCTTTTGATTTTGCCATTTTGTGTATGCTACTGTTTGGTCTTCCCATGGCATGGAATAGGCCACTGTTATCAATAGAGAAGAAGAGTTCCATTGGTGCAACGTTAATTCACTGTATTTTCTAATTAATTTATTAATTTATGGTGTACCGGTTCATGCCTTGTATTTCTAGATTTACATGCTTCTAGTTCACATACTTCTAGTTTACAATATAAATTACATGTTCATTCGAGTTTAATTTTTAGTGTAATTTACATTTCTAGCATGTTTATTAGGTAGTAAATTTTCATGTAACTTGTACCTATTAATCTTTAATTTAGGTCTGTAACTTATATAGTTAATTACATGTTCATTATGTAATTAATTTTTTACAGTTTTTTTTAGTTTAAACTCTAGATGTGTAACTTAAGGGTTGGTTTTAATCTTTACTTACAGTTATTTATTAGTTTGTTTGCTAGTACCCTCCCCTTCAATTACTACTTTGCCAAAAGCAAAGAAAAGTTGAGGGAGGTTTTGTTGTATTTTGCTGCTAACTCTTTATTGCAGGCATACCTAAGCGTGGAAAGGCTTTTGGACTAAATAGAATCCTTATGGATTGGCTATTTTATTTAAATGTTTGAAGTATGTTTGCTTGAGATGTAGTTGGTTTGTTTACTAATTTGTAGTAGCAAGTTTTATTTGTTTATATTGTTGTAGCAATTATTTTACATTGCTTGTGAAAGTTTTGGACCTTGGTTTGTTTTAACCTAGTTCATCCCTAAGAAAATTTAATTCTTAAAATTGTTTATCACAGACTAGGAGTCAACATGCTCTTAAAAGTTTTGTCAAAAGGTTAACTGGATTTTAAGTGGGACCGATGTGACCCATCCAGTCTTCCTGGGAACTTTCTTGACCATGTTTGATTCTAGGTTTTTGTGGTGAGACTAATTTTGAATTAACTTTTCATCTAATGGATTTTTTAAGGGTTAAGTTTAATTTCTGGAACACAGAAGTGATATTTTGGTGTAATTTTCAGAAATATTAACTATCACTGATGCTGTTGCTACTGCTAATGTTGGTGGGGATCTGAACCCCGGAGCAACTGGGTTGCCAACCCCTACAGTTGTGACCTCTGTGGTCAACTCTGGCATTACTCCGGCTGTTCCGGCAGGACCACTTAGTCACCATGAGCGCCCAAAAAAGTTTACTGGGGAAAACTTTAAGAGATGACAGTAGAAGATGCTGTTTTACTCGACCACGCTAAACCTTGCAAAGGTTCTGAGCGAGGATCCTCCAGCCGTGGCAGAGAATAAGTCTGACAGGTAGAAAGTCATGGCGCTTGACACATGGAAGTAGACAGACTATCGTTGCCGGAACTATGTGTTTAACAGCTTGGTAGACTCACTCTATAGTGTGTTTTGTTCCAAGAGCTCAGCAAAAGAGTTATGGGAATCTCTGGACAAAAAGTACAAGACTGAGGATGCTGGGGCAAAGAAGTTTAGTGGATCAGATATACCACAGCGCCTTATTCGCCTCAGTCAAATGGTGTTGCTGAGCGGAAGAACAGGACGCTGAAAGAGATGATGAATGCAATGTTGATAAGTTCTGGGTTGCCACAGAACTTATGGGGAGAAGCAATTCTCTCCGCGAATTATATTCTTAATAGAATACCACGGAAGAAAGTAGACAAGACTCCATATGAGTTGTGGAAAGGTCACAAGCCTTCATATAAATACCTACGAATGTGGGGGTGTCTTGCAAAAGTGGCGGTACCTATACCCAAGCGGGTTAGGATAGTTCCGAAAACCGTGGACTGTATTTTCATTGGTTATGCACAAAATAGTAGTGCATATAGATTTCTTGTGCACAAGTCTGATATTTCAGATATACACAAGAATGCTATCATGGAATCTAGAAGTGCATCTTTCTTTGAAGACGTATTTCCGTGTCGTCCCCAAGACAGGATTCCGAGTTCCATGAAAGAAATAGATGATCACGAAGACGATCACATAAATGATCACATGGGTGATCAAACAGCTGATCAAATAACTGATCAAGTAGATGATCAAGCTGATGAAGTAGATGAGCCAAGAAGGAGTAAAAGGGCTAGAACCACAAAGTCTTTTGGTCCAGACTTCTTGACTTATATGTTAGAGGGAGAACCTCGAACGTTCCATGAAGCTGTGACTTCACCTGAAAGTCCTTTATGGAAAGAAGCAATTAAAAGTGAGATTGACTCCATCTTACAGAACCATACTTGGGAGTTGGTTGATCTACCCCCAGGCAGTAAGGCCTTGGAAAGTAAGTGGATCTTTCGAATAAAGATGAAAGCGGATGGGTCAATTGACAAATATAAAGCTCGGCTAGTTATCAAAGGATACAAACAGCGAGAAGGCCTAGATTACTTTGATACGTATTCACCTGTGACAAGGATTACATCCATTCGCATGGTGATTGCAATAGCAACTTTACGTGGTTTAGAAATACATCAGATGGATGAAAAGACAGCTTTCTTAAATGAAGATTTAGATGAAGAAATCTACATGGAGCAACCCGAGGGGTTTTCAGCTCCAGGAAAAAGTAAGAAAGTCTGTAAGCTTGTCAAGTCATTGTATGGTTTGAAGCAAACTCCCAAACAATGGCATGAGAAGTTTGACAATGCTATGTTGTCAAATGGGTTTCGAATCAATGAGTGTGATAAGTGCGTATATGTTAAAGACACTGACAAAGGTTATGTCATTTTGTGTCTATACGTTGATGACATACTCATTGTTGGTAGCAATGATGAAATGATTAAAGCTACCAAAAGATTGTTAAACTCTAAGTTTGACATGAAGGATATAAGCCTTGCAGATGTCATTCTGGGTGTTAAGATCACCAAAACATCTGGTGGTATTGTACTTTCTCAAACTCATTATGTTAATAAGATACTTGAGAAATTTGGAAAGTTAGATACAAGTATGTTTAGGACACCGGTAGACTTAAGTCTATATTTGACCAAGAATAATGGTGAGAGTGTCTCTCAACTAGAATATTCTCGGGTAATTAGAAGTTTAATGTATCTGATGAGTTGTACTAGGCCAGATATAGCTTACTCAGTTAGCAGGCTTAGTAGATGCACAAGTAATCCCGATGCTTCTCATTGGAAGGGCATTGTGCGGGTATTAAGGTATTTACGCTATACTCGGAATTATGGGCTGCATTATACTCAATATCCAGCGGCGCTTGAAGGCTATAGTGACGCAAATTGGATATCAAATATAAAGGACTCAAAGTCCACTAGTGGATATGTGTTCACTCTTGGTGGGGCAGCTGTGTCTTGGAAATCTTTCAAGAAAACGTAACGATGGAATCAGAGTTTATTGATTCAGATAAAGCAACAGAAGAAGCTAAATGGCTACGCCATTTCTTTGAAGATATTCCACGTTGGTCTAAACCTGTGCCAGCTATTTGTATTCATTGTGATAGTCAATCTGCAATTGGTAGGGCACAGAGTAATATGTATAATGGAAAGTCTAAACATATCCGTCGTGGACATAATTCCATACGACAACTACTCTCGAATGGAATTGTCTCTATAGACTATGTAAAGTCTAAGGACAACATTGCGGATCCGCTAACCAAAGGGTTAAATCGAGTGTTAGTCGAAACGTCGTCAAGAGGAATGGGGTTAAGGCCTTTAGTAAAGGTTACCGGAACGAAAAACCCAACCTAGTTAACTAGAGATCCCAAGATCTAGGTTCAAAGGGACAACCTAACTTCGTGTAACGGGTGAGTCACTGAAGAGGTAAATCCTCTTGCCCATTCCTTTATACAGTGATGCCCTGTGGGGATGGAAGGTTAAGCTAATGCTTTTAATGACCTTAGTGATGTGGTATAATGAAATACCGTATCTAGGTCACCTATGTGAGTGCGAAGTGGGGCCGCTTCTTTAAGAATTGCCAAGGCTGAATTCTTTAAAAACACTCACAGAACCAGGATAGTGTTCCAGGGCCATACCGGACACACCAGTGAGAACAAGAACAATGGTTGGACTAACTCCTGTGTGAGGTCTATTGTCTCAGTTTACATAAACGGCAGAGCAGCTCAAGACATCACGTTCACTGGTCAGCCAGTAAATCCGATAGGCTTTCACTACAAAAGGTTCAAGGCCAACAGCTACCTTTTCTGATACAGGGTTAGTCTATGTGCTCTCTCTCTTTCCGAGTCTTTGTTGATAAACGTTAAGCGTTTGTTGTATTCGATCAATTTTTATTCATGTGGGGGATTATTGGAGAAAAATGGTTGAATAAGAAATTACCTCATAAATGTGTATATAGCTCACACATTTAAGGCTCATCAGTTTTACAAAATTGATTGGGCAACTTTGCTAGCATTAGTTGCCAGCCTTGATGGCTAGAGGCTCCTCCCTTCTTCCCCATGGTGTATAAAAGGAGGCCCTATTCCTTGAAAAGAGATATAGAATTTTTCCTTGACATTTATACATTGTCAGTCTACTTCTCTTATAATTTTCTTCCTGAAAGAGAGTGCTGCCGTTGTCCGTTCGCTAAACTAATCAGAAGGTGCTTCTGTTGTAGCTGGTAAAAACCGTCGTATCCTGGGAAGTGGATGCCGGCGTGCCTCCAGCACCCAACGGTGAGGCGGCGAATCTATTTTAAGGGGATTGTGGTATTACACAGGCTTCGGTTTGCTTCCTTTAACCATTTTATATTTTATCTGTATTTTATTCAGCATGTTATTTTTCCTGAGATTGAAGGTTTGTTTTGTTCATCTCATAATTTTGCGATATGCAATGTAAAATTATGTAATGTGAGTAGTTTTTCCCAACAAACTCTGTATTTAGATCTGTAGACGCGCCCTCGGGCCCTACTACAGTTCGGACTCAATTATCACGGTCCTGTATCTAATCTCGTAGAGTGCAATGCAAGACCGATGAATCATCAAAAGAGTCCAAATCCGGCAAATCGTTTTTGAAAACAGATTTTTTTAAAAGAAGTGCCAAACATGGACTGCTTTGCCAGATACAAAGTTACCACCTAAATATTTTATTTTGGAGAATTTAGGAAACCCTGACTCGTTGCCTAAGGCCACGTGTCCGTCATCACCAAAGTTGTCTCGGCTCGGGAACTTGGGTACGATTGGGGAAGGTCACTTCGTGAGCACCCCCGCTCGCCCGATCAAAGATCGGCCTCTACTAACCATGATATCTAGTTTTGAAAACATTATGCGTTCTTATTCCGATTAATTAGCTAGAATTACTATGTGATGCGCACAACATACAAGTACAGACTAGATCGCCTAATTTGGAACAAAGCATTGCATATCCGTTTGTTTGGAAATGTTTGAAGTTTGCTACTGCAAGTAGGCTAAAATGCGAATTTCAATGAATTATCCCAATTCAAGTAATCTAACCTTCACTCACAGGTATTCAGGCAGTTTATCACATAAGCATATAGCCACATGGTAAGCATGCTGTCATGTTAACAATCACACTCATGCGAGGACGCTAAAGCGTAAGTACTTACCGAGTACTCCAAGCCAAAACAGAAGCTATGTTAGAAATTCATGCATGATCCTAACTATACAGAAATGCCTAATGCAACACATGTAAAAATGCAAAGCTATTCTAAAATGGCATGTGATGATGCTACAACTAACAAGTATTCAACTTTGAATTGAAATACAAATGCAGTTAGTATGATGCGCCGAGCCCGGTGCATGCAAGATAGATGAATGGATGCAAACATGCTATTATACTGTATGCTAATTAAAACATGCCCTCAATTAACCATCATAAGCTGGTAAATAAAAGGGAGAAAGACGTGGGGTTGGAAGACATACGTGACTCACGCACACTTATTACAACATTGCCCTCACTTGGAGGGTCCGAATAAATAATATACAATCCGAATGAATACAAAATCCTAATTAATTAACAAATTAATTTAGGAAAGCAGGTAAATTAGCGCGCAAATCCATGGACCGTCTCAGCTTTGTTCCAAATGATGAATGATGCATGCTCGAGTTGCCTTTGCGCAGAAATCCATTACGATGCCCCAGTTTGCCTCTGTTTGTAATTGTTCTCGGAATATTGCGCAACGCTCCAGAAGGCCGCTGATTTCTAATTTATTGCAAAAGAGAGCAACAAAGGGGCATGGCAAAGTATTTTCACATATGTATGCATGACTACTCTTCAGGGAGTGTAGTCCTCGATCCTCATGCCACCAATC